TGGGGGGACAATACACAAGAAGGAGGAGGGGAATAGAAGAACAAGGCTGATGGGAGAACAGTTAGGCAGGTTCACATGGGTTAAGTGGGACAGAGGTAAATGGTGATGTATGTACAACCTTGGAACAACAGGGCTCTGGGATACAGGGATTGAGGCATGGTTTGAAGGGGTAAAGAGGGGAATAATGTTAAGATGCTTGGCTGTCTTTTGAATCTTGGTTTCCCTTGCCTACCATTGTGAAATAGACACTTGAGGAAGAGAGAAAGAAATAGCCAGAAACATCATTACAGAAAGCTTGTAAATCCGTCTTCTGCCTACAACTGATTGAAATACCTTAAAGGGGACTAGAAGTTGCCCAGTGAAAGAAGTTTCCTGTGGAGCCTTTACATTGCATAAGACCATAGGTGGAATCCAGAACCCCATCCAGAATCATCTGAGGTAGGACATTTCCACTGGAAAGGACGAGTAGACCAGCCTCGAGTGGCTAGAAGAACAGAAGATAATTCGTGAAAGAAAGACCAGCAGAAAAAATCCAAAACAATAATGGCAGTCTGATCACTACAAGAGCAAGTAAGCTGTTTGCCTGGGAGCCATCAAGGCAGTGGTCAGATCCCCTCAGAGAAAACTCCCTTCCAAGACTAAGACTCAAAGGGAATACATGAGCAGGCAGGTGGTCTGTCTGGTGACCACGTTGATCACCAATAAGTGGACGGGGGACGGGGGGGAAACCAGCAAATTGTGAGCTAAGTCCACCCACATTCAATAGACCCCTGTGAACCCGGGTGGAGACCTGGATGGCCAGCAGTTATGGCAAGACTGGGGACTCCTGGGCCCAGAGGCAGTGACATGGCCACAGAGGACTAGAGCTGAGAGTGAAGCGTTCAGCTGATATGAAATGAGGGGAGATGGACAAGAACACCCATACTTGCAAGAATACCCACTTGACATAGCTTCAATGGCTGGATGATCAGAACTTGACTAGAAGAAGAAAGAAAATGGAAAAAAAAAAAAAAAAAAAAAAAGAGAGTGACCTGCTACTATTTGATGAACTTTACCTACACAGGGTCGCTATTAACAACAACAACCTATACTTATGGATGTAGTAGCTCAAAAAAGGGAACAAATCTTTATAGTGAGGCTCACTCCCGCCCCTTTGGTACACAGGGTTGACAAGGATGGGCAACTTAGACATTGGCTACCCAAAATGGGGGGCCTATAAAGGCAAACAGTGACTGTCTTACAAGCTTTCAAGAGGGAACCTAGTTCCAGAGGGGGTGGGGGAAGGTAGAATCACCACTGAATGATTTCCAGTTGGTTGGGACCAGCCTGGCAGAGGAAATGGGGATAAGACTCTTGCGGTACAAGTGAATAATTGCCATCAGGACTGACTGTGAGGGTAGGAAATATAGAGGTAGCTGTTTTTTGACAAAAGGAGGAGAGTGATTGATTTTGCAGACCAGGAGCGGAGGTCCCTGGGACCATCAAATGAGAAGAGTGGAATGCAGGACCCTGTCCAGAGACGCCAGGGATGGAGACAGAGACGATGACATGGACAGATGGAGCAGCTGGGGACACTGAACTCAGGGATAGAGAGGGGCTGTGTGCTGATGGCCTGGAGGCAGGCCTGTGGGGTGTGCCCTTTGGCTATTTGATGATGCATGGAGGGGATTGTAATCATTGCAATGAAACAAAATACGATAGGATGAATGTAAGACTGATATTCTTCCCTGTAAACCTCACAATAAAAACTTATATATATAAAAAAGTAGACTTCCACATCCTTCTCAGATGCAGCAGCTGGTGGATTCAAACTGATGACCTTTTGGTTAGCAACAGAGTCCTTTAACCACTGGACCACCAGGGCTCCTTCTTATTCATCTGTTTATTTCACCAGAGTCATCTGATTCTCAGTTGTCTGGTTACTCTTTGTGTGGAAAGAAAGCTCAGTTAAAATCAGTGAGGCAAATGTTTTCTTTTCATGGCCTAAATATTAAGGCAGGGATGAGAGGATATGTGGGACAGGGGCCAAGACACTGGAAATGCTTTGACTGATGACTCAAATTAATGGCATGTTTTGGTTGGCTGACACCCAAGGGAAGCACCACATTTGTCAAATGAATAAGTGTACCCGCTTAGCTTTTGGCTGCAGAGAAAGGCATTGGCTATGGGCAGCGGGAAGGAAGAGCCAAGGATGATGCCAAACAAGTGCCAGAATGGTAGTAGGAGAGGACCACACGTGGAGTCCCTTTGAGAACGAATTACTCTGAAATCTTGGATCTCTCACCAACCATGAAATGTACATTTGGTGGAATAAGCACATTTCTCATTCATTGACTACTTACTTGATGACTTTGGAGCTATGTCTCAAATGCGTGGAACTCTAACATTTGGAACATCTGGAATGGAACACTCACATCATTGTCTCATGCATGGAAATCCTTAAATGGTTTCATTTGACCTTAAATGGTAGATGTTATAATCAGCAAAAAGATTTGGCAGGATGGCAGTAACGCATTTTACGTGAGCTTGCTGGTGTTTTTTTCTTATTGCAAATCACTGAGTGAATGTTGGTCTTAAATGAATGCCGCCATTCATTAGTCATGTGGTCCTTTCTGTTTCCACCTGCTGGTCCTTGCTCTCTGTTCTTCCCTCCTGATCTCTCTTCTCTCTTGATCTGCTTTGTCCCTTCCTTCTTTATTTTTGGTGAACATCATGTGTTATTTTTCCAAAGCCCTCAGACCTCATTTATTGTATATCACTCTCCTCCAATCAGGAACTCATCAGAGGCACACACTGCTCTCTGGGGCTGTTAGATAATGGTCCACAATCAACATTAAGAGAGATCTATTCTGCAATTATTTTTTCCTTCATGCTTCTTAAAGGGGAAATAGCTTCAGAGAAAAGTAGGAAGCTTTACCTCAGACTATCTTTCATTTGATTATCCTGTTTTAAAGCTGAATATGGCCAAAGAATATTCATTTGTGGTGGCGGGAGTGGGGTGGTGGGGAGAATGGGGGTGTGTAAGTGAAGAAGGTAAGGGATGAAGGGCCTGAAAATGTTCTTAAATGTTGACTATTGTGATTTAATCTGCATTGCAGAAATAGAATGAATACAGGCCTTGCTCTGCTTGCTCACACTTATAGGAGGCTCAGGCTATGAAAGAAGGATTTTTGATAAGTGTTTTCCCTCTCTGTTCAAACCCTTTAAACCATTGTTTCAATAATTACTGCTCTGAACCGTGAGCAACAGAGACCCCAGTCCAGCCACACATCTGCTGACTGCGCCTGCGCCTGCGCCAGCCGCGGCCGCCGCAGGTTTTTGAAACATGAATCCTTCACTCTTCCTGGCTGCCTTTTGCGTGGGAATAGCCTCAGCTGCTCTAAAACATGATCAGACTTTAGATACAAAATGGTACCAGTGGAGGTCAACATACAAGAAACCATATGGAGTGAATGAAGAAGGTTGGAGGAGAGCAATATGGGAGAAAAACGTGAAGATGATTGAACTGCACAATCAGGAATACAGCCTAGGGAAACACGGCTTTACAATGGCCATGAATGCCTTTGGTGACATGACCAGTGAAGAATTCAGGCAAGTGATGAATGGCTTTCAAGTCCAGAAACATAAGAAGGGAAAAATGTGCCAAAAATCGCCCTCTGGTGATATCCCCAAATCTGTGGACTGGCGTGAGAAAGGCTACGTAACTCCTGTGAAGGATCAGGGTCATTGTGGTTCTTGTTGGGCCTTTAGTGCAACTGGTGCTCTTGAAGGACAGATGTTCCGGAAAACTGGCAAACTTGTTGCTCTCAGTGAGCAGAACCTGGTGGACTGCTCACGGTCCGAAGGCAACGAAGGCTGCAATGGTGGCCTCATGGATTTGGCATTCGAGTACGTTTGTAAAAATAAAGGCCTTGATTCAGAGGATGCCTATCCATATCTTGGAACGGACACAAATGAGTGTCGCTACAAGCCCGAGTATTCTGCTGCCAACAATACCGGCCATGTGGACGTCCCTCAGGAGGAGGAGGCATTGATGGAGGCGGTGGCAACTATAGGTCCCATCTCCATTGCTATTGATGCAAGCCAAAGGTCTTTCCAGTTCTACAAATCAGGAATTTATTATGATTCACATTGCAGCAGCAAGAATCTGGACCATGGTGTTCTGCTAGTTGGCTATGGCTTTGAAGGGTCAGACTCTGATAACAATAAATATTGGCTTGTCAAGAACAGCTGGGGTGTTCATTTGGGCTCAGAAGGGTACATAAAGATGGCCAAAGATCGGAACAACCACTGTGGAGTTGCCACGGCAGCCAGCTACCCCACGGTGTGATATGTGATGTGCCTGAATGATGAAGGATCTAGGACCATCATCCTGAAGGGACGTCATTTTCTACTGATCAACCCTGCTTGTCTGGGATAAAACACTTGAATCATTGACAATCCAAGTTGTGATTTGAATTCTGTG